ATCTGTCCTCTTGAGCGCAAAAGTTAACCTTAGTATCCAACCCTCATGCATCTCTTCTTCTTTCACAGTTTCAGCCATTCAGACAATTGATGGAGCATCTATTTATTCCAGGAACTTCCCATTCTGTTCTGYTGTGCAGTTTTATGGCTTTATACACCATAAAAACTACTGTATGCACTTAACTCTGGGAACAGGGTAGAGCTATTTACTCAAGCAGAAAAGTAGTGTATTAGGGTGAGAGATCTCTTGTGAAGATAGGAAAGGAATCTTGCTGGCTCTAAGTTAGGCATGAAAATATTTGAACAGCGTTGTATAGTGAATACGTTATGAGACAAATGTTTTGTATTCTGTCTCTGCTGATGACTTCAAGGAAACTAATAATCTTAACCTTCAAATGCAGAGAACAATATTGTCAGTGTGCTGTAAATCTGCACACACAGGTACTAAATATCTTGCCTTAATACCATCAGGAGTAGGGGTTCTTTTGTACAAGGTTTCAGTTCAGTTATAATGTCCCTGGAAGATATGCCTTGTAATTTTGTGGAGAACCTTTGCAATTTAAATATTTATCTATTCCAGATTTTCTTTTTCTTCCCCTCCTTTATGGGAATTCTTCCTTGTTTAATTTTTTTAAACTATTTGTGACCTGCCCTCAGCTCGCTGTGSCATTGATGCTCCTCATAGACGTGAAAGATGCAGGCTGGGCAGGATGTTAGGCACATGAGAGAAAAAGTTCTTATCCAGAGAWAGCTGATGGAAAACACTTCTCTTTTGTTTCTGTGCCACCTGGAAGGATTGCCCAGAAAGCTTTCCTGCAGGGCATATTGTTCTGGAGTGTAGGTACAACTCTTCTTGGTGCCAGAAACAGAAAGATGAACAGAGTTATGTCTTGGAACGAGTTGAAGCACAACTCTGTGTCCCAGCAGCACACATAAATGAAGGGAAGGAAAATGAGCTTTGTTACAACGAGACAAAGGTTCATTTAGGAGTCTCTTTTTTTTATTAGGCTAATTATTGTGAAGTTTGAGTTTGCTCTCTGATGGCACTTTTTTTTTAAACTTGAATTGAGTTATTTTAATTTTCTGAACCACAAAAGATTAATAGCCTCACAATTTATGGTTTTTCTCCATAGAGTGAAAAAGTGTAATTAAAAAGAAGATATATGGTTGAATACAATTTTTGAACTGCAGCTTGGAGATATTTCACAGAATACAAAGCATGAAAGAAGCATGGGGTATTGTTTCATGCTGTTCTGCAGATAATTGCAAACCATACTTGCTTTGTGAAGTCAGTCTTTGTCTTGTTTGGTCACTCTCGCTTTTGTACTGGGAGCAAGGTATCTCACTCCGYGTGTGCACTTCTATGATGATGAGTAGAAGAGTCTAAATAAATGGAGGGTGTTCTGTTATTTTTAACATAGAAAACATGATTATGTGAAATCCCATTTGTTATCATGGGAAGCCTCTTTTCTGCATGACAACTGTTTTGCTTGGACTGGGAGAAGGGAGATTGTGGAAATAAAGCCTAGTCTGAGCCATCACTGAAAACATACCAATAATACCAGAGAAAACACAGTCCTGGAGCATCCCACAATATACATGCCATTCTTTCCTTAGCGGATATTGAACAAGCCTGAATACGGCAGAAGACAAAACATAGCATGGAAATAGCCAACTGATACAAACCTCGTGCTGCTCAGCTTGCCCAGATAAATGACACTGAACTTCTCTGAACAGACCTTCTAGACCAGTAGTGTTTCTGTCTGGTAAAGTGCCTGTTTCTCCTACTGCTCTGTCTGAATGTCAAGAGGAAGATTCCCCCAAAAGGTGTTCAGACTGTTGCAGCTGGGCTGTCTCTTCCTCCCCATTGCTCTCAGGTACCAGGGACACCAAGGCAAGGGAAATGACAGAYTGTCCATGACTTTTTGTTGTAGACTTATTTTGTTCTTAAATCCTGCAGCATGTGTGGGACAGCCTGATCCTTCGTGTTTAGTTCCTCCGCTCTCGTTTCCATGTTTGCTACCTCCCAGATCTATTATGTCAGTTAACAGGCAGTCAGGACTTATTTTTTTTAAATCCTTTGTTTTTCCAAAGCTTTCAGAACAAACAGTCASTCATCCTGCTTTCAGCCTGGTAAGGTTTGGTCCTGATCCTCTCAGCTTGATTTTCTTTGCTGCTGATGTGAATATCTTTCATATCACATGGATTCTTATCACCCTAATCCTGGCATATATTGTGTCTGTATGTGTATTTACAAGCAATGTAAAATCACCACCTCTCCCTGGAAATCAGAGACCCTGTGCACAGTTTTTTACAGTTTTTTTCCCAGCTGAAACCTTGCTACAGTCCAGGCATATATTTTCCTTTGCCAGCTTTCAGGCACTCTAGCAAATGACTCCTAGATAGCTCTGCAGTTGATTTATTCACCATTAACGAATCCCCTGTGAATCCGCTCCCTTCCCTGCCTCTGCCCATGTCCACTTGAAATGCCTCAGTATCCTGTATTTTCTGAGTTAACTATACTGATGGATTGTTGTCCCCAGACACTCAGAAAAGAGCATAAGGGCTTGAGAGACTCCTTTTTGATTTGGGTAGCCCCAGCTCTGTGCTTTCAGGCTGGAGCACGGTCTGCTTTAAGTATTGAAGGACAGGGCAACATTAACCAAGCATAAAATTTTTTGGTTAGTGGAGCTGTCTGAAAAGTTGGCGAAAAGCCCAAAAGTAGGGCTGTTAACTACAGCTACAGCTGTCTTAAATGTTCCAGACCATTTGTGCTTAACACTGAGCTTGTTTTCACCTGACAGTTAAGTGAGTTGGCCTGGTCTGAGTAAAAGTGACTAAAACATGGAAAAAATTCAGCTGCAAAAATGTAGGGTGGTAAACAGCAAAGAAGTTGTTCAAACTTGAATCACTGTRTCTGTGTTGTACTCTATACCAAAATAAGAGTACCATTCAGAATCCTGCCCTTCTCTTCATTCATGAAGAAAGCCAGATCTACCTTTAGTGTTATCCCAAGTCGAATTTGTTATGTGGGCAAATGAGAGATCTGAGTAAAGTTTAACCAAGTTAAGGATGCAGCAAAGGCAAATGTTAACTGTTCCCTTTCCGAGGCTAGTTCCTCAGCTTTTCTCTGGTAAAATGTGAGCTTCTAGTCTCTGATTCCTCTGGTTGGATAATCTGAAACAATTTCCTACAGACAGACCTATGCACCAGTCCCTGCTAGTCACAAAAACACAGGGGTCTGATGCAAATCTAATTGCAGTTGCATTTAGCTGCATTGTGCCTTGACTCTGCTGGTACCAAGAGCTGTTGCACAGCTCCTGAACACCTCACACACCTTCACTGCAGTGYTTATTGCTCAGGTTCTGCTGAGTCTTTTTTCTTATTGTTGTATTACTGCTGTGTATTTCAGCAGCTCTGAACTGACTCCTGCTGAAGCCAGCAAGTTTCTTTTGGTTTCATAAGGACTGTAGTGGGACACTTGACTGGTATAAATACATAATGTAAAAACTCTGCTCRCTTGGCTTCTTGTTTCCATTCCTTGTTATGTAGTGGGGTGATCTGACTGCTACTCTGGTTTTCTAAGTGAAATATGCTTAAGTTCTGCTTCCTGTTTTGGGGTTTTGTGGGCTTTTTTTGTTATTATGGTGTTTCTTTTGGTTATTTAGTACCTTATCTCAGCCTCTTACCAACCTTATATCAACCTGAATAAAGGATGTTAGTAAAATTCTGGGAGATGGACTCTGTGTGTGAGCATATACACAGAGAAGACAAGCGTGAGATGACATTTGGCTCTCCCAACCCACCGAAATCACTAAAACCTGAGCATGAAGACTTTTGAAGGAAAACTCTTGCCTTGAATGCAGCTGCTTAGATTCTTCCTGGTYTTCTTCATGAAGAAAGAGCAACATGTATTTTTTTCTAGTACTGCTGTGGTGAGCCAGTCACAGGCTGGGGAGGGAGGCAGTCACTTTTGGCTTTTACCCAGGGATACCTGCTCTGAATCAACGCTGTCCCACCGGTGAAACCCTGCCATGGACACACTGCATGGGATATCTTTGGATGCCACACCTACTGCACAGGCCCTTGGCTGTTTCTAGGAGGCCTTTATAAATTGTCTTCAACTTATGCTCTTTCTGATTTCACCAACTCAACCTGAACTTAGAATCCTGCCCCCATTGGGTGCAAATCCAGCTGAAAATCCCAAAGCAGAAGGGAACTACTGCTCATCAGTCTGCCCAGCCTCCTGTCCCACCCAGTTCTTTTTGTTCCACTCCCTTGGGGTTAGGGAAAATGTGGTTTCTCAGACAGCTCTGAGGTAAGSAGGCCTGTGTAGCAGACTGGGGAAAAGAAGACCAAGTGGGACGAGGGGAGATGCTGCATCATGAAGAAATGTTTAACATTTGCAATAACAGCCACCCTTCACCATGGATTGCCTACATTTTGTGAGAGGTTGCTCTGTGAGGGCACGTTAAGGCCTGTTTGGCCCTGAGATTTCCATTCCTGGCTGTATACCCAGGCCACAAGAGCATGAATTGGTCCCCAGTGTCAAGAGGATATAGATGCCAGCATTACATATAAGRGGGAAAAAGGAAGGAAAACCAGCCTGTGGGCTTCAAAACAGAGGAGGTGGAAGTAAAATGAAATGCCAGAGGCAAGAACATAGCATAGGCGATTGTGCAGGCTGAGGAGAGATTAACAGGTATTAGAAGAAAGTGAAACACATGAGGGAATTCAGATCARTGCTGAGACAAGCAGCAGGGAATGCCCTTAGCAAGAAGCATTTGGAGGTTGAACACAGATGGCAAGGTATGAAAGGCAGGTAGACTTGAGAAGCTGTAAYGGCAGAATAGAGAAAAACGTTAAAATCCAGAAATGGGAAGAAGGTGCAAAGCATATTAACAAATATCTAAAATAATAATACTTTCCAAATCAGAAATAATAATTTTGTTTATCTTGATATTAGAAAGCTGCACATAAATTAACCAATGGTAGTGTAAGAATAATTTTATTTATTTTGGTAACACAGTGATACATCTCAGAATGACCRTAGAAGTTAGCTTGCTAAATGACTGCATGCATTCTAAATAGGTGCTACTAAATTTGAGTAACTTCCTAGGTTACATGAGACATTATATGACCAACAGCTATATAATGTGTAACCCCTGACTGACAAGAGCAGTGTGGATGGATTTTGCACTAGTACCCAATGCACAATTAAAGCTTTTGGAAGGGTACAAAATTGCAAAAGCCATTTTTAATTAAAATATGAATTGGTGATCCTTGCATARAATAGCTTTTCAGTTGTAGGTTACATACTTTATTTCTTTTAATAACAGTACTTAGAAAGGTACAAGGAAAATCGTCTTACTATCGTTTGATCTAATGTAGATCTCCATATGAAAATGYTGAGTATCTTATAAAGCTTTTCACAGGTATAGGCTAAGTTCTGGGGTATCACAAACTTGTACGTAATTCAGAAAAACACCTGAGGTTATTCCATGTGGATGTAGGAGAAAGCATTTTTTAGCTCCAAAAAGAGATGATAGATGTCATATGAAGTCAGTACTTTAAACAGCTACATTATTACTGTGTGGGGTTATAAAGCAGTGCTTGTAGGCTTGGTTCAGATTTTTACAATCAGAAGCAAAGCTTGTACTTGAGAGCAGGATTRTGTTGTCGTCCCAGCTCTTCCCAATATCTGTGTGAGTTCTGTCATTGCTGCTAGCATGACTAAAACTGGCCATCTATCAGAAGTCACAGTGCAAATCTGTACTTGCTTAGGTCTCAGCAGAGCTACTTCACTGTGTAGCATTGTACGCTTATTTTTCTAGCTCTGCTAATACCTTATTTAGTACTCGGCTGAACACAGCAAGTCATGTGAGGTACTCTCATGTCTGATGGATTTCATATGTAATTGAAGGTGATCTGCAGCTCCAAAGAAGTGTCCAACTCTTTTCAAATCAGGCGTTTATGTAGGGCTTTTTGCTTTCTAGAGGAATATATGCAGCTTTGTGTATACAAACATTAACCAGAGGTTCAAGGTCATAAAATTTCATGTGTGTTTTATTTTAATATAATTCAAGTTTTGAAAAAAAACCAGTTATAAACTTTGCCTCACAAATATTTTGGAAGTACTTTTTCTTCACTTAATGAGTACTTTAATTAGGACATGTAATGTTACTTTTCCTTCTGAGGTGCTGTTCCAAGAAAATTGTACTAAAAGTACATAGTTGATTTTCAGATATACRATTTAACCTAATAGAATGACTAATGAGTAGGGTATTAATTGCTCTATGCTTTACTTGAGGTTTGTGGCATGAGTGCTTTAATATAACAACCTCCTTCCCCCCCAATCTCACTTCTAGCTACCTTGGCCAGTGTGGATTTTACTGGACTTACCTGTGTGCCTAGGGACAATATTAACTCCTTCCTAGACAAACAYAAAATTCAGCTATACCTTTATAAATCTAATTCAAATACTTATCTTGTTCACTAATATGCTAATGAACAGACTAGCATATGATTTGTATCCTCCTTGCCATTTCATGACATATTCTAGACTTTCATATCTTAATGAAAAGTTACTGTGTGTTACTATTCATTTTCATATAAAGCATGAATTTTAGTTTCAAACATGCTTACAAGCAAGCCTTTTATTTTTTTTAGGCATTTAGGTGAACATTCTGGAATGCTGAAGGCAAGACTTTACATTGTCATTTTACCAAAAATCATTTGAACAGTTTTTGTTRAGGCATTAATGTGCATCCCAGCAGCCAAACTACCGGACCTGCTGTGAGCCTATGACAGTTTCCAGCATAGTGAATTCAGAGGCAGGCTGCAGTGTTCTGCTCAATCCTTTTTTTGCCTTTTTTTTTTTTAGCTAAGAGATTTTACTTCTGAATGTGGAGTCACTGAAGGCAAACTTAGAGTTAAGGCATAGTGCATGGAGACATGGAGAGGACTGCAGAGACAGTTCCTGGAGATGCTCCAACCAGTAAGTAGATAAAAAGCACTTTACAATGGCAACTTCTGTGAACAAGCTAGAAAAGAAAAGGCTTACTTTCAAATTGCATACGTTTTATCATTTGATATCTTGTTCCCCTGGCTCTCTTTCTAGAATTAAAAKGAGGACTGAATTATACCTTGTGCCGCTTTTCTTCCTGCGCTTGTAACTTGTAATATTGGCTATGTACCAAAAATATCACCAGAACAAACTATGAGTTATATAGGTCTAAAAAGAGAGAGAGAGATTATCTTTAGATGCAAGGTTTATTGCTCAGGCATTTGCTGACAGCTGGATTCACTGGCTGCTTTCTCTGCTTGCAGTCTTTGGACAGCCTGATCGAGCAAATCCATGGTATCTCTAAGYGTAACATTCAAGGTGAATGGCTTAGGCTTAATGGTCAGCCCATAGGTAAAGTCCATTTTAGGGTCCTCGTTTGGATTAGCAGTAAAATTGCACTGATGCACCAGTATGGAGGTAAAGAGAAACAGCTGCACCTTGGATAACTCCTCCCCAATACAGCGACGTTTTCCCAATGAGAAAATCATCACGCTGCTAGTAAGATCTTTGTTGATGAATCCGTTCTCATCCAGRAATCTTGTTGGATCAAAATCCTCCGGGTTGGACCATTTTGCAGGGTCATGATTCACTGACCACTGATTTACAAAGATGACSGTGTCCTTGGGAATGAGGTAGCCCATGATGAAGGTGTTGGCTGTGGTGGCGTGTGGGATAGTCACAGGCACAAAGCTGCTGAAACGCATGGATTCGTACAGGAAAGCCATGATGTAGGGAAGGTGAGGCTGATCTTCAACACATGGCAGACGGTCTCTTCCAACAATCCTATCCACTTCTTCTTGCATTTTAGCCTGCACTTTTGGATACCTGTCATTTAAAGCAAGATGTATGCATACATAACATTTTCAAAGGATTTTTCTTACAAATAATCCTTGCTATAAACATTTTTCCAAAACCTCATTCCACCCCTAAATAATGCAGTTTGAGCAAAATTTAAATATATTGCAGGAATRTGTGGACCTCAATTGAAAACTTTGAGAGAAAAATCCAAACATCCCATGCACTGATGTAATTTTAGATTTGCTCTATGTAAGCAATTCTCAGCATATCCATGTAAGTGATTCTCAGCATAAAAAATGAAACTAACTTAAAGTGTGCTAAAACTAAATATTCTGATCCAATTGTTTAAAAATTTTGAAAATTAATTCTAAAACTGTAATTACTTGTTTTTTTTCTAAATTCTTGGTTTTCCATGGCAACAAGAATTTTACTTTCCAACTYTGTATGTGACTTCTAAAAGTTAGCATGGAGTTTATTATCACTAGATATATTTCATATATTTGAAAGGCTGCAGGCTTCTAAACTGGAAAAAAAAATCYCAATTATTAAATTGTCAGAATGGCTTTATAAACATCTCACTTTTAGTTTGAGTGGACGTTTTCTAATTAATATCAAAATATGTGTTCTCTATAATTATTTAAAGAGGACTGTCTTGAAGTCTGGACAGTTTGGAAGACTACACAGCAACCAAACAAGATCAAAAAGTTAATGTATCTTTTGCTTGTCTAAAGGCACACATTCTGCCAAGGAGCCTTTATTTGCTTTAAGTATTCAAGTCTGGCTTCTGCATCCTTGCCTTTTCCTCCTGCAGCAGACTCACATGGCAATGCTGGGCAAACATAAGAAATGGAGAGAAACACAAAAGTTACATGAACACTGGGCATCACACTCTTCGCTGGAGGTGTTAAATATTTGCCTGTTTTTCAAGAAGCGACTGAGTAGATAATGTTTGCRTAAGGCCACAAATTATGCAGGCGATGAAAGAAAAAGCCAGAATAGGCATGAAAACCATTGCAATGGCACCTTCTCTTAAACCGCCTCCTCTATGTTTCTCCGGCAGACGGGCAGGTGCCAGGGCAGCGCTGCCGCCCAAGGAGTCTGCCTTGCCCAGTCACGCAATGGCAGGGAAGGCACACGCAACGGCAGCTTAGCATAATAGCGGGTTTGTAAACCGGTGCACAAACTCTTTATCGCGCTTAAGCAGTTGTTATCCTGTTCCTATGATCTCCTTGATCTTGACCTGGTAAAATCTGTTACTTTCAGGTTTTACTCGGCTGCCTTTCTGCCAGCCTCTCTTTATGCWCTATAACCCGAGCGCCTGAGCAGGGTGGGTTTGTGTCGGATTTCTTTTTTTCATACTTCCTTATCTCTTTCTGGCAGGTTTCCCAAGGCTTCCGTGTTAGTTAATCGGAAGCCGCTGAGGCAGCCGGCGCTGCACGGTCTGGCGCTGCCCGGTCCCTCGGACCCGCGACCCGCGGCGGGTCCCTGCCTGGGCCCCCGTCTCTGCCCGGACCCGGAGCTCCATGCTCTGGCTCCCGCCGCAGGAGAGGTCCCAGCAGCGCCTTTGCCCGTGCGGCGCGGTGTAAACGGGGCTCCCGCGGGGCTCGCGGGCGCTCGCACTCCGGGCGGGCTCGCACGTCCCCCGCACCYCGGGCCGGTGGGGCGCCCCGGTGTGCTGCCGCCTCCGCCGGCACATACCTGATGAGGAAGATGAGGAGCCATTGCAGGGCGGTGGAGAGGGTGTCCTGGCTGGCACCGAAGATGTCGGTGACAGTGGCGGGCACGTGCTCGAGCTGCAGCCGCGGCTGCTCGCGCTGCAGGCGGATGAAGGCGTCCATCATGTCGCGGGGGGCAGCCCCGGGGCGCAGACTGCGCTGGTGCTGCAGGAACTTGCCGCGGACGAAGCCGTAGAAGTCGCGGTTGAGGTCGCGGAAGGCGCGGTAGGCTGCGCGGACGGGGCTGGGGAAGCTCTGGAGCCAGGGCAGCGCATCCACCAGGCTGCCGGCGCCCACCGCCCGCCCGAACTGCTCGTTGCGCCCCACGATGCGCAGGAACTCGCCGTCGCCGTGGCTGTAGCGGCGGCCGAAGCACAGGGCGCTCATCACGTTGGCCACGGCCACCACCAGGACGCGCGAGGGGTCGAGGAAGGCGCCGCCGGCGCTGCCGCGCACCAGCAGCGCCACCAGCGCCCGCGCCTCGCCCACCAGGTGCCGCTCGAGCAGGCGGCGGGTGGCGGGGCTGCCCGTGGAAAAGGCGCGCACCGTGGCGTGCGCCGCCCGCCGGTGCAGCTTCCAGAGCTCCGAGTATCCGCCGAAGGCCAGGCTAAGCCCGCCCGACACCAGCTGGAAGGACGGGAAGGGCGGSCGGCCGGCGAAGGCGGCCCCCTGGCGGACGAGGGCCTGGCGGATGGCGTGCTCCCCGTTCAGCACCACCACGGGCCAGCGCCCCAGGCGTAGCTGGAACACGGCGCCGTAGGTGCTGGCCAACCGGGCGAAGGAGAGGTGCGGGGCGCTGCCCAGCTGCGCCGCGTTGCCGATCAGGGGCCAGGGGAAGGGGCCCGGCGGTGCCCGGCGCTGGCCCTGMCGCCGGCGCTGCTGCTGCTGCAGGAGTAGCTTGCCCAGGTGGATGGCGGCGAGCAGGCAGAGGAGGAGCAGCAGGGAGCTTTGCAACGGGGGGATGCCGCCYAGGGCTTCCCCGAGCCTCTCGAGGGCCATGCTGCAAGGGAAAGGGAAAGGGAAAGGTCAGCGGGCAGCGTTCCCGCCGGAGGGAGACCTTCAGGCCCCGCCGGCAAGTGGACACCCGGACGGGGCGCGCTGGCGTGGCGAGGGTCGAGAGTCCCAGCGCTCTGAGTCTGGGCGAGTCCTCTCTGTGTGCTCCTTGTGTGCCTAAAGCTCGTCTGGATCCTGTGCGAAAAACAAGGGATAATCGATAATCAAGTGGCAAGCGCCTARTAAGAGATTGGAGTCGTATTTGGCGGCGGGGCCGCTGCGCTCTCTCCGCCGGTAGGTAAAGTTCTCAGCGGGAGATCCAACAGGTCACGTCTGAGAGAGGCACAGAGGGAAGCAGGAGGATGCTCTCGCCTGACGAGCCTCCGCAGATGCAGGCAGTCGCCGTGCGCCGGAGACGGGTTAATTGCGGCGCTGCACATCGCTCCTCCCGGCGAAAGAGCCCCTGCGAGAAACGGGTTACGCGCCCCGCTGTCGGAATTTCCCTCTGCTTCGGAGAAACCCCCGCACGCGGCCACGGAGCCCCCTCCGTCCCGAGCCCTTGCGTCCTCCCCGCACCTTCGTGCCCGTCGTGGTATCTCAGGCTGGCGGTCTGTCGCCCCGACGTTGGGCTGCTGGGGATGCCTGCGGACTCGGCGTGTCAGTCCTGACCGGTCTCTCTTCCCGTCCCCGTGCCCGGGGACGGCCCGCTCCTACCATTTACYCCAGCCTTTCGGAAGCAGCGAGGGRAAGAAAGGGTGAAATAAGCGGCCTGTAGCAGAACTGACCTGTTGCACGCTGCTCCCATTGGAAACCTTGGGGAGGATGGAGAAGAGCTGGGCAGTCGGTGGCAGCTCTAACGGGTAGCCGCGRGAGGAGAACGGCGACGGCGGCGTTCAGATCCAAACCTTTGGGAAACTCATTAGGAGCTCCGGTACCTGTCACYCGGAGCTTGGCAGATCATGTGCAGGCAAATGCCAGTTGACCCGATCCCAGCGCAGTTATCACTTTCMCAGCGCTTTAACCCTTCGGAGCTCGCCCCACCGGCAGACACCTGCGCCGAGCAGCCCCGCGGACCGGGAGCGAGCGGGCTGCTGCGCCCCCTCCCTTTCTCTCTCCCTCCCACTCGCCTGATGGGTTGCGGGGACGGGACGGGTCCAGCCCAGCCCGCTGCAGGGAGAGAAGGCGAGCGGCTCAGAGGGCGCGGAGAGGACGGCCCGCTGCTCTCAGGCTCAGCCGGAACAGGAGCCGCCACCTCTGGGTGCCTGGCATTGCCACTCCCGCCTTTAAACCCGCCGGCATCCGCGGTGCGCGGTGCGGTGCGGGCGGGACGCGGGCTGCCCCCCTGGCAAATCGCCTCTGCCTGGCCCGTCCCCTGGCTTGAGGGGTCACAGTTATTTGTCAGCTGCCCTTGGGCCCTCGCCAAGCGGAGGGGCTGAGCCGCGGATGCATTTATGGCCGGGGCCAAAAGTTTTAGCGGAGGAGGTGCCGGGAGGGGAGCGGGGTGGCGGGCGGGCTCGCAGCCCTCGCTCTCGGGAGGCGAAGTCTCGCCTGCATCTTAGGGGCTGAGGAAGCCGAAGAGCTTCCCCTCCTCCGCCTGTCGCCTCCCCGTTGCGTGCGGAGTTAGCATTGCGTGAGCCGGGGCTGGAAAGCCTCCAGCCATCTCCTCCCCGGGCCCCTACCCCTCCTCGCAATACCTGACACCAGCTCGGGGGAGAATGAGGCTAGGAAGCGCCGGGCAGCTCGCACCCCGGCCGGCTCTGCTGCCCTCCGGCTTCGCCTCCGCCCTTGCTCTCACTTCTTCCCCGCTCACAGCACCTTTTTTACTCTTAAATCTGGCGCCTCCGCCCTCACCGGGAGAGCTGGCGAGAGGTGTGCGAGTACGGCGCTCCAAGACCCCTCTGGCTTTTCGGCTCCTCGGGGGAACGGGGACTGCAAAACCACCAGACATCGAGGAAATTGTTCCCCAAGAAATCAGAATTTGCTTGCTTTGTTCTTGTCATTTTGCAGTAACRAGAAAAACGTGAAAATGCAATATTTATTTCAGATTCTTTACAGTCACATCATGAGAATAAAATATGATGTTTTGGTWGCATTTAGGGATTAGACAAAATTGGATGCTGGGAGTCAGCCCAGCTCAGGGTGTGAGCCCAGTCCTGGCCAGGCTGCTACTGCTTCTGTCTTTGCTAAGTGTAATCCTGGCTGTTGTTACTGTCCCAGGCTCTTCCAGTCAGTGATATTACTTGTTGCTCAAACTAGCATCAGCCTTGGATCATCTGTTGACTTGGAGCTTCTTCCTATCATTGCCAGGTAATAGAGGTGTCAAAACCACTTTTTCTGAGCAGTGCCTTAAAAAGTGAGCTTACCTCTTCCCAGCCCCRCTTCTAGGATGAACTGGAAGGATCCTGCAGCCAGCCCAGCACATACACCAGCTTCAAAGAGGAGCTGAGACAGCCCCATCCCTATGGCACTAAGGTTAGGGTGTTTTGATGTCTCTATCACTATCTATCAGAAGACTGAAAACAAATTTTATGTCCTATAACCACTCAGCTATGGAAAAATTGTCACCATTCCCTCCTTCATCTGTCTCATGTCAAAGAAGAGACATGGACTTCTGGCAATGTTCCAGAAGATCTGGGTGGCACTGATGTTTTGCCACTGAACAGAAGATCTGTACTAGGCACTGAGTCTGGGTCGTAAAGACTGGCTTGGATCAGTTGCCTGAACTTTGGATTGGGCATTTACTGTTGCCAGCAGGTAAATTTGCCCTTTTCATGGTGATAAGGTACCACGACTTCACCGTGGTAATAAGTTGCCCAACCTCCCGGCATTACAGCTCTCCTTAGAAAGTCCCTAAATTATTTTTTTGGTTCAGCTACTAAACTAGTTGTATTGCAATTAGATGGCTTCCTGGCTTCTAGCAGGACATACAGAGAAAGGAATACATTTCTGCCATCATGACCTGCAAGCTCACAATTTATGGATTTATGGCAGGAGCCTAGGAGTTACAAATCCTGATACCTTTTTTTTGTGGTGCTGTAAGGAAACATTAATTATTTTTTATTTCACTTCTCTTTGGTCTTCAGTAGTTCTGTCCCTATTAGACAGGAAAGCAAATAACCTGTTTTAGATGTTTTCTTGTCTGATGATAGTACCAGCTGGTCCCCCTGTGCTATTTACAGCTTTGGCCCACTATAGCATTTATTACAGCCTGAGTATTCTYTTGACTGTATACAGTGAACATTCACCCAATTCTTTAGGCTCTGATTCTGTGTGACCTTGATTAGTCTGTTACAGTCAAGCATAGTTTGAGTGAAGCATTTTATCACACCCGTGAACTAGTGCACACAAATTCAGGCTATGGTTGCTCAGCCCCTTGGTCTCTTTAATATTCTACAAATTGCCCTCCTGCCCAAGTCTTTATTTATTCTTCTCACCTCTTCTGTTTCTGCAAGCATAGGAGTTCAGAATTGCTGTTGGAGAATGCATGTTCTTTTTTTCTCCCAGTTCTGGGGATTTAACTGAGATGCAGGTCCTACTGAAACTAGTCCCAAACTCCTGAATCAGTTAGTTTTGTTAGGCACTGAAGACTGAATCACTGAAAAGATATRCCATGTAAAATGAATTATTTCTGAGGTCTAGAAAATCCTACTGGACATAATATATGAAAAAGAAAGGGAGTTGAAGGGGTACAATTGAGTAGGTTTGGTATTAAGGCTGAGGAGTTTAGGCTTACTCTGTTAAAAATCTTGATTGATTTGATAGGAATGCCAGATGCAGGGTTTGTGGAGGTATCAGTACTGCTGTGACTGAATAAAGTTGCTTGTGTATGTGGACAAGCATTCTTGTTGTGGAGGTAAAAATCTGATAAAGGAGAAGGAACTGCACAACCTGGAGAGTCTTTTTTACCCTTAGAGAGGGAATTTTTATGTCTACCACAGTCCCCCCTTTTCCAAGAAARCTCCTTAACCCCTAAGAGATTTTACAAGTGTTAAGAATTACTTACCTAAGTCAGGCTTTGAAGACTGAATTCCCAGTTTTGCTTCTAATCATGGCAGCCCTTCCCTTTGCTTTTCRATATTGGCAAGCTGCTCATAAATCCTCATGAGCTGCAACTGGAATTTCTCATGGACTTGACCTTGCTCTGTTTTCTTTTCTTACCTCTTCCTTTTATATCGTTCCATGGAAAGCCCTCCCACACTAGATTTCTCTGTCTCTTTCCTATACCTGGGACTATGGATCTTTTCCTCCTCTCTCTTAATTTTACAAAATCCCAAGGTGGATTAGTTGAGCAACGTTTTATCCTGGGATTGCTTCAGCATAGAGCTTGTACAAATTGTTTACCATTTGTAGAGTGATCCAAGCCATTTTTCATTAAACAATCCTTGGCAATGTTGTTTCTGATTGTCTGTTTCTAAGTGTTGCACAATATTTTAAGTGAATAAACAAGTAGCATAACTGTRAAACACAAATCACTTGAAAACTAAMCTGGGTGCAATATCCTATTGTTTCAGGCTGCTTAAAATTGTACAGACGTACTTACATACCTCTAGAGTTCGACTTTAGTCTCAACAATACTGCTGTGAGTCAGGAAAATCATCACTACAACAAACACACCGCAGTCAGAAATCACAAAACCTCTGTGTTTGCAGCAGCTTGCTCAGACTATGTTTATGTAGTGATCCCACATGACGAGGAGTTACCATTATGCTTCAAGTAGTTTCAGATCTGGGAGCAGAAGATTTTTACTCAGTCCAGCTACAGTCCCACCTCATGGCAGCTGGCTCTGTGTCACCACCTGTGCTTGCTGCTCTGCACCACAGTGATGTCCCTGCTTCCTTGGGCTTATCTACAAGGTTCTGAGTGCTCAGGGTTAGAACTAACCTGAAACAGTGGTACCGCAGGTGTGGATGACAGTGAGATCCTGTCTGATGCAGGTTCCTGTTTTGGCTCACTTTGGCAGCTTTCCAGTCATTCCATACCTGCGATGTAAGCAAAATAGAAGCCACAKTCTCAGTGCTACCCAGAGTGCCAGGCATACGTAGGAGCCAGCTGCAACTCCATGATTCAGGATTATTTATTTAGGCCACTCACTGTGGCCTAAAATAAAGCATTTGTGGTATACTTTTAAAAGCATATGTATTTGTGGTTATATATCCCATTCTTAAYCTTCATTAACTTGCAGCTTTCTTTGGATTTTCGTTCTTCCCTGCATTCCTASTGACTTCCCAGCTCACGTTTTCAATTTTGCCTTGCTATTCCAAACCCTAAATTTGGCTTCTAATTCTGAGCCAAATTTCCACAGCTGCTGTGGGAAGGCAAGGAACCTCCCAGTACTTGCTGGGCTCAGCTCTGTGGTAGGCTGAATTGTAGCCTCTCCATCTGTTTGCATTTTCCATGTTACTTACAAATTAAAGGCATCGTGATTTGCTTCTACACTGGCAACACACAGGTATGATTACAGAAATGAGGACATGGTGTTATACTTAATTCAAGCATAAAACTTCATTCTGAAACTTCTAATTTTGCCAAATTCCTACAGTATTTCTTTTCAAAGTTTGCTGCCTTTTCTTGACAGTATGATATAAAACCATACAGCTTAGTCTTTCTTGAGAGGAGAACATGGAGATGATACCTTTGGGGATACCTTTTGAGAAGCCTCTTTAAATTGCCTTCTGCTACAAGCAAAAAGAGTAAAATCTAATTTACACTCCGTTGGGCCCTCATCTGTGGTATTTTCTGTGTGTCTTTGTACTGATGCTGTACAAATTATCTTTAAATGCTCTGAAACAAATGCTCTGAAGTAGATGGATTGAATGACATTTAGGAAAGTTTAGACACTGCTCATGGTATGCATTATTGTGTCTGTCCTCAAATGTGATGTGTGGGCAAACTGCTGTGCCTGCTCACTCTTCTGTTTCAGCAAAGGGGGGCTCCCAGGGACATCTGGCAGCTCTGCATCCTCACACTGGTTTTGAGGTTTGCAGAACCAAGAGCTGTGTTGCCCATGTCCATCTTTGTATTGAAGTACCTAAATCTTCTAACCTGTATGATGGGCTAGGTCACTAACAAGCTTTAAAATGATAACCCTCCTTAGGACCAATAATTTTATTATGTTAACAAGCAGTAATATATTTCTCCTTTGTTTTCCAGACTTTGTTGGGTGTTTTCTTAGTAGTACTGGTATAAATTTTGTAGTGTGATTRCTTTATTAACTCTAAGATTTTAGTATTTGTCATTTTAGGAAATGCCAGTGCACTTGTATGCTCGAAGGATTGACAGATGCTAGCTCAAAACAGTCCTGGTCTCCAGCTGAGAGCAAAGCCTAATTGTCTCACAGACAGAARCATATTCTGTAGGAGTGAAGGTTTCTAAAATTTGCCTGTGAAGTTCTACAAAGTCTTTACTATGGATTTGTAAAATACAGTTTTTCAGGGTTTGGACATTTGTCCAAATTTGAGTGAATTATTGAGGGAAGAGCAAAAGGCACAAATCTGGGAGAA